CCAAAAATTGAAGTTTAGGAATTTTTTTAGTACTTTTTTTAGTTCGAGGGTATTTTTAGTCCAAAAATGAAAATTCAGGGACTAAATCGGGGATATAACCTATATATATATATATATATATAGCTATAGAAGCATAATTACAGGATGTATGTAGATCTTAAAATTTTGCCTAAGGTCATGGAAATGACCATTGCACCAGTTCTTCCTTGTACTATGCTTTGGTTTTTAATTGCCTTAGATACTTCCCTTTTTTCTTTTACTGGTTGTTTCCTTTGTTGGTTGAGGTCTTGATTCTTTGCAAGGTCTTGATTCTTTGCTTGTTAATTCTGTACTTGATTCAACTTCCTTCACACTCCCCCTCAAACTGGACTAGGGAGAAACCACCAAGCCCAGTTTGAACAGTAAGAACTAAAACTGAGTGCGAGGTAAGGGCTTGGTAAAGATGTCTGCAATCTGATCTATGCTCGAAATGTACCTCATCACTAGAGAACCAAGTGTTACCTTTTCTCGAACAAAATGATAATCTAATTCTATATGCTTTGTTCGAGCATGGAACATAGGGTTAATAAACATGTGTAGAGCACTAATATTATTTGAGAACACTTGAGGAGGATTTAGGAGTGAAATGCCAATATCACGGAGAAGATAAGTGATCCACACAAGTTCAGCTGTAGTAGATGCTAAGGCTCTATACTCTGCTTCTGTAGTGGAGCGAGCTATAGTGGATTGTTTCTTTGAAGACCAAGAAATACAATTAGCTCCAAGGAAAATGCAAAATCTTGTAGTACTTCTTCCCGTTATGGTACATCCTGCCCAATCTGCATCACAAAACCCAATGAGATAGTGTATTGGACGAGTAGAAACTAAGGCCATGGTGTAGAGTCCCTTTGATAGAATGTAGGATGCGTTTAACTTGACGAAGGTGAACAAAGGAAGGTTGTTGCATAAATTGGCAGACTTTGTTAACTGCAAAACATAAGTCAACTTTGGTGATGGCTAAGTGTTGTAGAGCACCCACAATTTTCCTATATTCTTGAGCATCAACAAGGTCCTCATCTCTTGGTGTATGTGGTTCTTTGACTTCCATTGGTGTTGCAATGATGGAGGTTTCAAGCATGGTTGCTCTAGTAAGAATATCCTTGGCATATTTGGCTTGAGACAAGAATATACCACCAGAGAACAAGGTAACCTCAATACCCAGAAAATAGCTTAGAAAGCCTATATCCTTGAGAGCAAACTTAGTGCTAAGATTTTTCAATAATATGCTGCAGTGGAGATGAAGAGCTTGCAGTAAGTACAATGTCATCCACGTATAAGAGAAGCAAAGATGTATCTTGCCCATTAGGAAAAACAAATAGAGAAGAGTCTGCCTAATTGCAATGGAATCCCAACTTTAATAAATGAAGAGTGAAGGTATCGAACCATGCCCTAGGGGCTTGTTTGAGACCATAGATGGATTTATTGAGTTTGCAAACATAACCCGGATGATTAGGAACTTCAAATTGTGGTGGTTGTTTCATATATACCACTTCTTTAAGCTAGCCATGAAGAAATGCATTCTTCACATCTAGCTGTCTTAGTGGCCATGATAAGGTTGTAGCTAAGGCAATTACTAACTGTAGGGTGGTGGGTTTGAGCACTAGACTAAATGTCTCTTCAAAGTCTACCCCTGGTACTTGTGAAAATCTTCTTGCCATTAAGCGTGCCTTAAACCTGTCCACACTTCCATCTGAATTTAACTTTGTTTTGAATACCCATTTAGATCCCACAATGTTTGTGTTAGTTGAAGGGGGAGGCACTAAGGTCCATGTATTGTTCTTGTAGAGGGCAACCAATTCTTCTTGCATTGCTCTTAGCCATTGTGGGAGTTGTAACGCTTTCTTGATGGTTTTTGGCTCTCGAATGTCTATACCTGCATTATTCAAATAGGAATTATTATTAGTGCCCATAGTGTTTGCATATTTTGGAAATGAAGTCTTAACATGGCTAGTATGTGTTCCTGTACGAGTTCTTGTCATCATTGGGTGAGTAGATGCTGAAGTTGCATTGTGAGATGGTGGAGGCACTCCAATAGGTTCTTGTGAAGACTCAGTAGGATCTAACTCTTCTTGAGCAACAACTTGTACTCTTATAGATTCTTGTGAAGATTTAGCAAAAGCTGGTTCTTCTTGAGCAACTTGTACCAGACTAGGATTGATCCTAGTGGTAGATAAAGGATTAATTGAGCTTGAAGGAGAGTCCCAGTTGTTAGGTCCCAAAACGCTTTAAGCTGAGATGTTGTCTCTCTCATATTCTTGATTTTGTTCTCCCTCAAGCTTTATATTTTCTGCATTATTATCTTCTATTTCTTCTTCTCTCATGCTTTCTATAACCATGATTTGTTGCCTAGTAGGTGGAGTCATAGAAGCATGATCATCCAGCTTCTGTGAGGGTTGTAAGTGGGATGAAGCTCGTGACCACTCGTCATGGTCTGGATACTTGCAAAGTTCACCATTTGTACTAGTATTTCCTAAAATTCTTGTTAGAGTAGTATATGGAAGAAAAGACTCATCAAACACTACATGCTTTGATATATATACTCATTGTGTAGGGGGATGCAAACATTTGTATCCATTGTGAATTGAGCTATATATAATGAACACACAAGGCAAAGACCTCAGCTGAAGTTTATGAGTAGCATGGTCCCTGAGATATGGAGAACATCTACATTCGAACACCTTTATCATAGAATAATCAGGTGACTTGCCATATAACAGAAAACAAGGAGTTTTATTGTTCAAATTAGGTGTAGGAATTCTATTAATAAGAAATACTAATGTAGAGAAACTATCAACCCAGTAATGGGGTGGCATATTAGCATGGATTAACATGGTCAAACCTGTCTTGACTATATGTCGATGTTTTCTTTCTGCAACCCCATTTTGTTCCGGAGTGCCAGGGTAGCATACCTGTAATTTAATGCCACAAGCTACTAGATGATTAATGAAAGCCTTACTTGAGAACCCACCACCACCATCACATTGAAAAATTTTGTTGTTTTTGCCAAATTGTGTTGCTATCATCTTTTGAAATTTCTGAAAAACATCAAAGAAGTCAAACTTCTTATGCAGAGGATAAAACCAAGTAAGCCTATTGAAATCATCCACAAAAAATCACATAATAAACAAAGTGGTTAGTAGATTGAACTGGAGAAGGCCCCCACAAATCACAATGAACTTTTTGAAACAAAGCCATTGCTCTTTCATTATTTTTATTAAAAGGAAGCTTACAGCTCTTCCCCATTTGACACCTAGAGTATAAATGAGAAGGCTTAGTCCATTTTGATACTAAAATATTATTTTTCATGACTAAAGCTTTTAGCACATTAGAATTAGGGTGTCCTAATCTTTGATGCCAAATGAGAATCTTGTTAATTGCCTTCTAAGGTGAATTTCTTGTTCCTTAATAGAGGCAAGGTAATGATCTTCAAGACACCTCCAGATTTGGCTAGTTGTATCACAGCGAACAACTAAACTCAATGCTTCTTCATTCATGGTTCCAAGTAACCAGTTGGTGAGCAATCTATCATTGTTTAACCAGACCTCATAATCTGGATTTGTTTCTTCTTTTCCATTCCTTGTGATATTCATCACAGGTGCCTCCTCTTCAAGGTGATTCATGAGTTGAGCACTCCGGATTACTGGAAAGACTTGAGATTTCCAAAGTAAAGAATTGGTGTTTGAGAGCTTAACCGAGATTAAGCTGGCCATTTGATGGAAGCTTTGAATGGTAAGCTTAGTCTTGTTCTTTGACATTGTTTGATTTGATGAAACTGTTTCAAACCAGAATATGAGGAAGTAGTATGAAAGATGGAAGAAAGTTTCAAATGTAGCAAAAGGAAATAGACTATAGTATTCAGATGCAGATGTTATTTTGCTCTGAGACCATGCAGAAGAACAAAACCAAATGAGAATACTAAAACTGTATTTGATTATATTAATCTATACAAGACTTGTGTACATATATAGCTACAGAAGCATAATTACAGGGATATATTTAGATCCTAGAATTTTGCCTAAGATCATGGAAATGACAGTTGCACCAATTCATCCTTGTACTGTGCTTTGGTTTTTAATTGCCTGAGATACTTTCCCTTTTTCTTTTACCGGTTGTTCCCTTTGTTGGCTGAGGTCCTGATTCTTTGCGAGGTCCTGATTCTTTGCTTGTTAATTCTATACTTGATTCAACGTCCTTCACAAGCAAGTGTGTTAATATTTTTTAGATTGTTGCCGATTTGAATAACTATATACAGATATTTTTAAAGACAATTTTTCTACATCACTCCGCATTGGACTCTATCGTTTTATTCCTCCCTTTTTTTTTTTTTTTTGGTTTTTCTCTCATTCTTGTGCTTTGTTTTTGCTTGCATATTCTCTCTTTAATTGCTGCCTATTTATCACAATAAATGATATTTATCAATGACTCAGACAATAAATCATATTTTATTATTATTATTATTTTTTGGTTAAAATTTCAACTTTCTAATAACATTTTTCTTTGGATCTTACTCTTTAAGCACCAAGATCTAAATTCAACTACTTTTATCACCAATAAACGAATAACATCTATAACAAAAATTTTCAATTTATTTCCTTTTTTTTTAATTTTTGTTGATTATTTGGAGAAATAAATAGTTAGGTATTTATCTAAATTTTTTTAAAGTTTTTGCAGTAGCATTTTGTGACTCTTCTAGGTGCATTGATGCCATGGATATATCACAACCCCATAGACGCCCATCAACATCTACTTTTGACCCATAGCAACGGGTTGAAGTGGAGGAACCAATTGATACAGTACTTCCAGAGATTGCTATTGCTCCTAATGTGAACCATACATCTAGCAATACTAATAATGCTATCCAAATTGCCTCTTGTAAGAACAAGGGACAAGGAAAAGCAAAGCCACTAAAGATGCCAATAGATGGTAGCAAGATCCCTCTAGTGTTAAATAATACTAGAAATATCTTGCAAAACATCTAGCATGATATTGTTATCCAATTAAAGGGTAATCTTCCAAATGCGTACACTACATGGACTTTTGTTTCCTAAGAGCATTGACAATTATACTGGAATTTATTTTGTGTATGATTTATTCTTTTTAACTACAATGTAAGAATATTAATTCATTCAAAGTTTAACATTGCAGCCTTTGAATTTAATTTTTTTTTTGGTCTTTTTCTTAGCCAAAATTCTAGTGGGAGCTTGAAATTAACGGAGGGTGCGATAATTGTGGGAAAATACATGCACCCTCAAATTCAAACATGCTTTAAATGAGATAAAAAAGAAGTGTGTGGCTACCAATTTTCAAGTGAAGCTGAAAGACATAAACCTTGAGGTTTTTCAGAAGCTTGTGCATATATGGATCAAGGCAATGACGTAATTGTGTAAAAAATTTCTAAATATTAAATCGTAGTGATTGATGATACTTATTTTTTTGTAATTTTTTTTAAAATGTTTGCACCATTTTTTCAGGATGAGAAACACATTAAGCAGTCAAACTCAAGAAAGCCAAATCGAGCCAAAGGCCAAAAAGTCACACATACTAGTGGCTCAATGCATATTGCTAGATGCATAAGAAAATTGATATAAAACATAAACAATTTTATATTTATTCTTTATTAACAAGATTTTTATATTTTTATATATTTTTTGTTGTCTAATTTGATGTTAAATTTTCCAATGTAGTAGGCGGCAAATCCTTAGGCGTGATCTCCTACATTTCCTGAATTATATACTAGTAGAAGGCAATACTACCCCAAGGGAAAAGATCAAGTGCTAGCATACTAAAATGATGAGGCCAGAGAGATTAGTGTAAGTATTTCATATTATGAAATATAAAATGTAAATTTTGGTTATTGACTGGTTTAATTTTGTTGTACCTATGATTTTGATGATTACAAAACACATTTGAGTAACTAATTGGTTTATTTAAGTGTGTAGTTAAATTGTTAAAATATTGCAGGTAAACTTGGACTGCACTAAAAATAGACCAAAAGGATAGAAAATGTGCAGAGAGCCGGCTCTGTGAAATGGAAGTGCAGAAAGCTGGCTTAAAGAGATTGCAGCCGGCTATGGAAGTGCAAAGAGCCAGCTTTGGAAGCTGCAGCCGACTCTGGAAGTTGCAGCTGACTTTATGGGCAAAAATTTGAAGACCGTTGTTTGGCGTGTGGAGAAAATATGCAAAGCTGACTCCAACTTTGCAGCCGGCTGTAAGAGTGCATTTAATGCACAACGATTGACTTATTTGAAAAATAATTAATATTTTTAAAGTTGGAATATCAAAGCCGATTTTACGTTTTTGCAACCGGTTGTCCAAGAAAACAGAATGTGCAGCAAACTCACAAAGTTAGCTTTGCGTTTTGCAACCGGCTCTACGGAGAAAACAGAATGTGCAGGATCTTGCAAAGCCAGTTGTATAGAGCCGGCTCTAGGAAGTTAAGCTAGTTGTCCTGACAATCCTACAACTCAAGCTTTGCGTCCTGTAGAGCATTAAATGACCCTTAACGACTAGTAACGGCTATTTTCGACCATGAGGCTATAAATATGGTCTGTAAAAGATCTAGAGCAAGTTCAAATAGCATTGCATTAAATATCTTTACCTACCTACATGAGCTTTAACTTGAGTTTTTAATCATTGAGAGATCTTTACTTATAATCCTCTTCTTGTTCTATTTGTAAGTAATCTTGGGATTGTGATTAATCCTTCAAGAGCAATCTGTAGAGAAGATTGTTTGGGTTTATCTTGTAAAGGGGTGAGATTTGAGAGAACCACCCTTCTTCTTGTAAAAGGATTGAGTGGCTCCTTTAAGCCACCCTTGATTTTATTAGTGAAGAGTGTGGAGGAAATCCTTGGTGAGTGAAGCCAAAGTAGAGGATTAGGTTCTAAGTGGTTGGACCGAACCTCTATAAAATCATTGAGCAAGCTCTTCTTCTCTACTCTCTTTAATTTTGGTGTTGTGGTTGCAAAAAAAAGAGAATTTTTGGAACTCCAATTCACCCTCCCTCTTAGAGTAGATTGAGTCAACAAATTTGGTTGAATTATGTTATTTGTGATTATTTGAATTAGGTTATGTATTGTATGTTTGTTCGTAACATTCACACTCTTTTTTATTTTTTGAAATTTCATATGAATTAATTGAATTTATTGATGCGGTGTGTCATGGTGTTGAATAGTTGTGATTAACATGGAGGAAGTCCACTTTTTAGGAGAGACACTCTGAATTTTATTAAATTTCCTATTAATTCATATATTTCTTCTTCTTTTTTTAATGTTTGAATATATGATATATATATATGTATATATTTATATTATTAACATGAGAATTGATATATATATATATATATATATATATATACAGGGGGGCATTTGGTTTTACAATTCTAAACCGAACTGAAATTAACAATAACT